AAATATGCAGGAATGCTATTGACTGTCGTTTTCTTGTTTGCCTTTATTTTGTGGAGACATTGACCACCGTTAGATGTTGAAAACTGAAATTTCTACGTTTGTGAGAGCATATAAAAGTGAAATACAAAGTATATTTGGCTGAAATGTGAAACTTTAACAGCTTGCACAACATGAGGTAACATACAAAGTATATTCACGCGTTAGTTATTTGATATTTTAGGCTACTTTTGATTTGGAGTATATGTTATTATATTCCAGCATTATTTTGTATTCCATATTATAGTTCAAACCCCAAGAGATGCTTTATGGAACAAGTTTTATTTTTTATTTTTCGAAGTGTTGAGGATGATTACTGGTCTGTAACTCGCATAAAACCGGAGGGAACCTGAATCAACGAAAACAATTGTACTCTATGCTTAAGCCATCTTAAAAAAAATAGTACAAAAGTATTGCACCATTTATTTTATTTTATTTTTTGAGAAAATAGCATACGGTCACTTCAAACTTAGTATTTATGAAAAATTGATTTTCATATAGTTAGTATAAAGATTTACATTCTCAATTAATCAGAAATTATTATTGGTGTCTTTTAAAGTTAATATAATGCAAGTCAAGAAATCTATCATCTATCTATCATCTATGGCAATATGTGACTAGATAATATGAAAATATTACTTTACTGTGGATACGTTTTAATTAAATTTATTTGTATATAGGCATACCGAACTTTTATTTCATATCAGATTTTTAAAATTGTTGTAACTTATCCTTTCTGTGCATGGTTCGGTCACATTACGGCTTCCCTTCAGTTCTTGCATGACAATTCTAGACATTGGAGACGTGGCTCCTACAATCTCTACCGTCTAGACAAGAGTCTTGCCCAGTTGCCCGTGAGGAGGGTGGGTGTTGGGGGTGGAAGATGCTGTCCAAAGGACACACAGGATCGTACGAAATTTTTTTTTAAAAAGATTAAAAAATAAAAATAATATAAAATGAATTCATCACCATCGATCTAAAAATAAAGAGATCTAACGATCTAAAAAGACTTTTCCTAGGTGGGAGACTTGATTCCCCTCCTACCCCGGCCTTTGTCTTAAACTTTGACTTCAACCATTCTTGCATTACATAACAGAAATCGTGACTTTTGTAGCCTGGGAGGTTTGTTAAATAATAATTATTTTTTGAAAGCTTGATATGTTAATAATATTTAACAAGCGCTTCTACTGTGAAGCATATGAAGAAGTGTCTCATCAGTAATTCAAAATAATATTTTATTAGATAAATTTTTTATAAATTTTTAATAAATATTTAATAATTTTAAATTTTGTTTTTTATAAATATTTATCTTATAATTACATTAATGACCTTTATCACAAAAGTGATTAATATATAAGAATTTTAATTGAATATCATTGCTTTTTTTTTTTTAATCATCATCATCACCTTAATAACATCATTTGTGTCTCGGTTGCATCTTGCATCAAAGTCTAATCCCAATAGCTTCTATAAACTCTTAGTAGAAGAGAACACAGTACCTTGGTAATTCTTGATTGGGTTTGAACCCACTTCGCATCCTCAAGGTTATCCGATAGTTCTTTCTCCAAAAACAAAAGGACCTCACAAATGCATCATCATGATTTTGAGTCGATTTGCAAGCGTTATTTGTGAGTGATGCTAAGGGTCGACAATTATTGTTGTATGATAATTTGTAACTACCTAGGCTTTTGGCAGCTAGCCAATTGAGCTAACTGATCGACCCTTTTGTTGTTACCACCGGGAGTATGTCGGACTTGAACCTCTTCAAAACCTTTTTTTTAATATTTTTGAAAACATTGAAGTGTTTCACCAAATGAGGTTCTCTCACTAGGAAGGAGTCGTTGATCTGTTTTGCAGATACTTTGGAGTCGCTCCAACATAAAATCTTTTCTACCCTCATTTCTCTGGCTAGTTGAAGACCAGTGATTAAAGTCTTGTATTCAACTTTGGTTGTTTGAGACTTCAAATCCGAAACCTAGTGACTATTCCAATACAACACTATTTGGGTCTCCAAGATAATTTGTGCACCATTACCTTCGTCATTTGACATGAGGTCAAGAAATTTACCACCTCAAACTCCAAAAATATATTTCTCTAGGTTTAGCCGCATGTTGTACCACGACAACTCTTGAAGAATCTTTCTCAAGTCTCAAATATTCTTGGAAACTTCTTTAGATTTAACAATCATGTCACCTACACAGACTTCCAAATTTCTCCTAATCTATTTCTTAAACACCTTGTCCATGAGGCGTTGATTAGTTGCTCTAACATTTTTTCAATTCAAAGGCCATAACCTTCTTTTAGTAGTTAGTTGATTTAGTTATAAAAATTGCTTTCTCCTTGTCGTAGAGGTATATCCTAATTTGGTTGTACCTCGAGCAGGTGTCTAAGAATTTAAAGATTTAGTTGCCAAATGCACCGTCAACGAACTCATCAATGTTTGAAAATGGGTACACATCCTTTGAAAATGCTTTGTTAAGGTTAGTGTAATTAGTACACATTCCCGGTTCTCACTTGGTTTTTTTTACCATTACAACATTAGTCAACCAAGTCCTGTACGTTATTTCTCAAATGAAATAAGCGTTCAAGAGTTTGTTCACCTCGACCTCGACCACCCTTCTCCCTTCTCCTATCTTTCGTTTCTTTTAAGCTACATGCCTAGCTTCATGACAAACAACTAGGCAATGGCAGTGAAAGTTTGGTTCTATACTCGGCATGTCCTCTACCGACCAAGAAAATAGGTCTAAGTTCCACTATACAACTTTATTTACTTGACTATGCTCGACATCATCGGTTGAGAACCAAGATACATCATATGTGTGATGGCCCTCCCCACCTAAAGAGATGATGTTTCCTTAATTGGTATAACCTTTCTTCTTCACCTAAACAAGGGCCTAAATTTAAGGGCTTCAAGTTAAAGTAGGAGTAACAATAATAGCATTCACTTTTCCTTCCCCCCTTTAGGAGTTGTACCTTTAGGCTAGCCATATTACATTTTCTAGTCATTTTTTGATCAACTTGAACAATCATGACCTTACAAGAGGAAGAGGGGAACTTCATAGTCAAGTTGGGCGTGGTCACAACTGTGCTAGGGGCATTACCAAAAGGATGACCTAAGGGTATGTTGTAGAATATGTTGGTGTGCACGACAATGTATCAGACCATAATGGTTTGGTAATCCTTTTAATCATAGATGAAATATGTTTGAAGTAAATACATCCTCTTGTGGTGACTCTCTCCCCTAAAAATCCAATGAGTGGTTTGTTATATGACATGAGGTCTTCTTCTAGGATTTCCGTCTGTTTGAAATTGTTCCAATATAAGATAATATTTGCCAATCTTACTTAATCCACTAGTGTTTTATGTATGACATAGTTGGTTATCTCAACATCAATGATCATAGAGTCATCCTGAACAGAATCGGCCCTTTGAAAATCTCTATTAATGAAAGTTATGGTTGGCATCTTGGTCAATCTTATACACTCCACCATGTTGATCAATCTAACAACTCGAAGATGTCTTCTTTAGGGCCGCCAGTAGCGAATCCTCTCATTATGGTATTAATAACTCTCCTTAGTAATTCTTGAGAGGCATTGTGAGTCATCTCTACTTTACGTAGATCGACTCTGCTCTCATCCTTTGATTTTACCACTTCGATCTTGTTCTTCTTCCCTTTCTAAGTGTGGCACAACTTGGGTCTCTCGAGCACGATAATGCCTTCACTTGAGTGGGTGCCAACTCACACAAAACTTCAAATGACCCTACTTAATGAGATCTTCTATCTTTTCTTTGAGTGTTGTACACTCTTTAGTCGAGTGGAATTTTTGTGGTATTAGCATGATTTGGTGAAATCCACTTGAGGCGAAGTGCTTCCCCGTTTTGGTCCTGTCAATACTTTAGAAGCCAAATTCCATTCTATGAAGCAGGCTCTGGTGGTGTCTAAAGAAGTGTACACAGAGTATTTGGGGATTGTGGGGGGGACAATGCTTAGAGGGGTCCATTGCCCTTCCTTTTACAATGGATGGATGTGTCGTACTTTTTGACTAATAAGCTCTTCTGATTTTTAAGGAGTGAGGGTCTCCATGATCCTCCAAGTGAACGGATGCCTATATGGCTCGACAAGGAAGTTTATAAACATTTTGGCTTGAGCATTGGAAGGGGAGGCGAGGGAGGCAGTTGGTGAGGTTTTCGAATTTAACTAGTGAAAACATGAGACATTAAAGTATGCCCCTAATGCAAGGAATCCTTGTTTTCCATTTTCCCTGAGGGTTCCCACATTTGGTTCAAACTTCTTAGGTAGGAATTCTCACGCCAAAAGGCTGAGAGTTCCAAGGCATCTCTTTTTCACATTTTCCACATAGCAACCATCTTTTATCTTCACAAATGAATGACATTCAAAATGTTGAATAATAGAAATTTAACATATACCATGAGTTATTAAGAAGAATAACTATATCAAGAATTACTCTTGCAGTAACTTGATCCCTCCTCATATGTGTGTGTGGACACACACATATGTACATATACAGAAACACACATACATACATCTCCCATCTATTTTGTTGATGATGTTCTCATCTTCTATCGTGCAATATAAGATCAAGCTTAAGTGATTAACTCAATATTGGAGGAGTTTGTACAACTTTGAATCTTAAGGTAAATTTGGAGAAGCCTAAATTCATCACCTTGTGAGTTGTGCCACAACATTGGAAGGGGCAGTTGAGGGGGATTTTGGGTTTTTCTAGCACAACTTAATGGGTAGGTACTTGAAAATTCCACTGATGCGGAGAAAGCCTAAGATGTCTAACTTTCATCCTATTGTGGAGCGAATCCAAGGTCGCTTAGCTTCCTAGAAATGGCGTTTACTTTAAGAATATTTGTTTGGGTTGTCCTATGCCTGTGTTTGGGCACATCTACAAGGTCATCCTAATTTTTTTGTTGTTGTTCAACTTGAATGTAATCTTACGTATAAATTGGTTGTCTACCAACCCCAGTCTTATAGATTACGCTAAGAAAATCCTAGTATTTCCTAATCTTGGTGATCTGGAGATGGTTAAAACTAAGCAAGTTGATGATCTAGTGATGTATGGACCTAGTGCTTTGTGATCTTCTCTTCCTTAGAGCTAAGAAATAACTTGAAGATGGAAGTTGTTGAGGTGATTAGGGATTTTCCTGATGTTATTTCAGATTATGTTTCTCCAATAACCTATAAAGTGAAAGTGACTGGACATACAAATAATGTTTATTGTAAAGTGAAACTATACATAAATATTGTGCGAATATAAGGTTCACAACAACAAAGTAGAACATGGAACATCTTGTGAAATTGTTAATCAGTGATTGATAAAAGGCATGTGAGTTGTTTAATGAGTAATTAAATTTAAGTCATTTACTTTTATCTAATGGTTGAAATTAACTCATGTTAATGACATGAAGAAAAAAAATCTTCTCATTAGATGTTCCTCTCTCTCTCTCTATCTATATATATATATATATATATATATATATATATA